TGAGACCTGCTCTAATTAAAGTGCCCAGAGTGTCACAGGTATGTCAGTGGGGGTGCTTTAACTAAAGCTTCTCTCTCCCCCACCTGCTGCTACTGCTTTCTCTTCTGTCCCAGGGCTGAGAAAGCTTCAAATCCACTCCTACTTGCTCCAGCTGGTCTGCATGGGACCTAGGAACAGTGACAGTAGGAGGAGCTGAGATGGGCAGTCAGTGGGTTCCTCCACCCAGCCTAGTCCTATGAGAGTAGGAGAGGAAAGGAGGAACCCCCCTTCCCCACTGGCTCTCCTGCTGTCACTGCTCCCAGTTGAGCCCATCCTTGCCTAGCCCAGCTCAGGCAGGCAAGAGTAGCTTTGAAGCTCTTCCCACAGACTAGGGTGAAAGCAGCAGCAGCAGCAGCAGCAGGCAGGCAAAGTAGGAAAGAGGAAAGGCGGGAAGGGGACATTCCTGTGAGGATGGAGGGAGAAGGAGAAGGATTCTTGCATGTTTTGGGGGCTTTAAAAATATTCCCAGAGGCTCCTGGGCTGGATCCAGTCTGAAAGAAGGGTGCAGCCATGCCACAGCACTCCCTCTAGATCCACCCCTGTTTACATACATAATCTTCTTTAAACAATATACATTAGTAAAATAATGTCCTATTATTATATGATGAGGCATGTTATACTTGTGGAAACAATTATCTTATTAGAAAGAATAATTGAGAAGCCCAAATATTTGACTGAACTGCATAAAATATTATCTGATATTTAAAAACAGGATAGGACAGTTCCCTACATTTTACTGTAGATTGAAATAAGCACCTTGGGCACAGGGTTATCCAATACCCATTACTTACTCCTAGGAATTGATTGACCAAGTCCCTTAAATTGCTTTGAAAATCTCAGCTATAAAAGCTAATTTCTAAGTAAACATGACACTGACATGGTACCTGTTTCCTAGAACTTTGCTTCAAAACTATAGGTGAACTGTGAGTTCAAAATACTTGAAATATCATTGGTCATTCTGGGGTTCTGAACTAGCCATTAGGATTTTTGGACCATAGTAAAACTTACTTGTTGTACATCCTAAAGAAAGTAGGATATGTTCCATTAATAAGAACATCTGATCCGGGCCAAAAGAAGGTGCCAGCCTTCAAACTCTGGCTCATTGCTGTCAGCCAGATCTGAAGGGAGAGGACACAAATAGGCATGCAGGATATGTAACAGAATAACAATACGTAAGACACAAGAGACAAACCAAAATAACAAGTCACAAACATTGAAATGGAGGTCACAGCAAAGGTCACATTTTCATTTGTTTCTTTTACCTACCTTGTGATTGCTTAACTATTGTAATGTTTGCTGATCTGTTGTTTTTCTTCTGCATACCAAAAGAAACATTTACATGTGTTGGGATATTGCCCTCTCTTGGCTGTTCTCAGCATAAAAAGAACACACAGAGAAAAGACGTTTTGGGAGCAGGACAGAGAAAGGTGTTTGTTCTTAATATGAACTGAGAATAATCTCTCTACACTTCAGATTGCAACAACAGTGCCATCACAAAGCTAGTTGTTTCATGACAGATTCAATTATATATAT